ATTAAAAATCCTCGGTGAAGGGAGGGAGGCGAGTGTCTTCGTAGAAACAAATGGCAGTTGCCTCCTTTGAAAACGGTTTCCTTCTACCGGTGGAGAACCAGATAACGAGAGCAGAAAGAAGAAGGAAAGTACGAGAGCAAGGGCGAGCGACGTTGTCCCCGAGCTCGTTAATTAACCATTCAATTCGGTTTTGAGTATCGGCCGTGATCTACCGGTGTCTCTCCTCGTTTGTCTCCCCCTTTCCACCGCCGCGATTCGACTCGAGTCGTGTTTCCGCGAGTTTAAGGAACCGAAATAAAGACGGGATCGCGAAGACGCGGTTTCTAAAGGTCTCGTCTTTTCGAGCGTAGCCGAGCGAATCGCGGGGAATCAAGGGTGACTTGCAGACGCGCGTACCTCCGATAATAAAATCGGAAAGGAAAAAAGAGAGAGAGAGAGAGAGAGAACAGTTTCTCTCGACGGTCCTCGCGTTCCGGTCGCCGCAGAAATCTCGAGGAAGCAGTTCTCTGTAAAAGTTACTCACGTTACACCGGGATTTCGCCGAAGGAGAGTGAAAAATGATTGTCACTCCTCAGAGAACGGATATCCAACAAGATTTCATTGAACGCTCGCGTTCGAACGTAAGGATCATTGAAATTTATGTGTATATATCTATACGTAATGTATAGTAATCTATAAATGTAATGTAATCTTATGTAATGTAAATAAATATAATATGTAAATTTCAACGTGTATAATATATATATGAAATATATTATTAAAATAAAATGTGTGTGTATAAATATGGGAATTTTATTAATGATATATTCCTTATATATACATTGAAAATGTATATATCTACATAATGTGTAGTAATCTATAAATATAATGTAATGTAATGTTATGTAATGAAAATAAATATAATATCTAAATTTCAATATGCATAATATATATATAAAGAATATATTATTAGAATAAAATGTGTGTGTGTAAATATGGGAATTTTATTAATAATATATTCCTTATAAATATTGAAAGTGTATATATCTATATATAATGTGTTGTAATCTATAAATGTAATGCAGTGTAGATGTAATATAATGTTATGTAATGTAAATAAATATAATATCTAAATTTTAATGTGCATAATATATATAAGAAATATATTATTAGAATAAAATGTGTGTGTGTGTAAATATGGGAATCTTATTAATAATATATTCCTTAATTGAAATTTATGTTTACATCGATATATACACATATAAATTCCCATGTATGTGTATATGTATAGAGATAGAAATTTTATTAGCAATAATTTTAAATTAAATTTGCAAATGAATTTGCAAGATCAAAAGTCAAGCTGACAATTTCCTAATTTCATTCACACACGTGCACAGTTAACTCTCGATCTTTTAAAAAAATGATTCATTTTCACGAAGTTTTATATACCTATATATCATGGAAAGATGGTAATTCTAAAGTTTAAGTGTTCGTACACGTACGATATCGTTAATTTTCTATACGTTTTCTAATATACAGGATCGACTGACATAGCTTCTGAACGGCTGAAACACGATCTCGTTGATTATCGAATGGATAAACGTCTGTCTCATCTCCGTTTATAGTAAATAAATAATAAATCGAGTGATTTCTATGTACACATTCTTCCACTTGTTCCGAGCAAAAATAATCACGACGGTGAAACGATTGTACAAAATGGAATTCTCGCTCGCCTGATTTCATTAATTCGGTATCAACTGAAGTTTTGGAAACTTTCTGAATTGAAGGAACCAAAGGCGAGCAAGGATTCTCGAAAACTAATCGAAATGTGTAACGGAGATCAGTGATCAGATTGAAAGTCTGTCGCGAATACTTTGTTGCTAGCAGTATTGCTTCCACGTACGAGAAATAATATCACCGCGCGAATGATGAAGTTTCGCGTAAGAATTCACGCGCGTGGCGAGAAGCACCCGAAGTATGAAATTTAAAGAGCAGCAAGCAGCCGTGGCAGTTCCCGAGCGGACGCGATCCCGAAGAACGATACCGGAAAACGGCGTTCGACCGGTCGACGCGTAGGCAGGGACGTTCTTCCGTTGTCGTCCCCTCGGCTGAAAGAATTATTTCGTGGGAATTTCACGAACGGGCGACACGGGGCAACAAAGTTGCAACGCCGGGGCCGTAACTCGAAGAGAGAGTAGATAGTTCGCCGTGGAACCGAAGATGCCACTTAGCCCTTGTGCAAATTTAATTTCCACCTGCCGCGGGGACTGGAAATTAGGCTAATGCTACGACCGGGGGACTGTGTGCCCTTTATGGAGACCGCCATCTCACGGTGCTTCGGCATCCGACGAAACGATCCGCCGAGAGAGAGTGAGTGAGAGAGAGAGAGAGAGAGAGAGAGAGAGAGAAACCACGGAGAAACTTCCGATGGGAAAATTTATTCGAAACGTCTCGAAGCGAGAAAACTTTCGCGGCCGTCGTCGCGTTATAAACACGTGGCCGGATGAACGTTCTCGCAAAATCCGCAATTGGGATGATTTCCTTCTCGTCTCTTGCCGGACAGCTCGCTCGGACTGTCGAACGAACTGTCGCCGCGTGATCGAAACACGCGAGACAAGTAACTTCGAGGGAATTTCGTTGCTTCGAGTTTGGATGGTTCCTAATTGAAAGATTTCGCGAGCGAGGAGTGCGCAGCGGGAGCAAATATTATTTTCGCGCTGAAATTGAAGTGGTCGAGAGAGACAGCGGCACGGCGATCAATTCGCTGAATACGGGTAAGTGACGTGTCGGAATTTCACGCTTTCATTCACATCGAGTCTCGCAACTATTTTCGAAACTCTATCGGGTGAGACTTCTTTGAGAACGAGCGAGATGAAATTTTTGAAAATAACAGACATAACGAGATTTCACCGCGAGGTGAATATATAGAAAATATAGGTCGTCTTCGCGCGAGTAAAAGAAGATTATTTAGCGAAATAATAAAAGGACACCCGAGTTGAAGTTTGCAAGCGTTGGGGAAGTAAAAGACAGGATTATGGACAGTTTAATGGAGAATGACATATCTCGGTCAACATCGCCACAAATAAACGCGAAAGTAGTACCAGTGTACGTCCGAGTGTACGTAGATATTATGATAAACCATTACTACTTGGGCACTAGGTGTCGCTAGGTTTTTCGACGAATTTTCAGCAGCGACAACTCGATGACTGATCAGTCCTCTTCTGCGAGTAGTAAAATACACGTATGTAACTGTCATTTTATTCACCTATTGATACACCTTCGAGATTCGACAATTCGAAATTCAAAATATAGGTTATAATAATTCAGAATTATTTGAGATCAAATAAACCCTATCCACCTGTTGCAAAGGAAGAACCTCGTCGATTGCACAATATCTGATTGTGAAATCCTCAAATACTTAATTATTCCAACTCTATCGCTACTGTCGTTAAACATCCTCGCCCTCTATTAGATTCCAGAGACGACCGAGCAACCGAAGAGAGAAAGAGAGAGAGAGAGAGAGAGAGAGAGAGTTGCGTGAAAATTACGCGGATTGCGATAGGATTACTCACGATGGCGTAACGTTTGCAAACCAGTCTTCTTAACGTACGATACGTGCATCGCAGGTAAACGTAATCGCGCGACGTTCGACGCGTCGAGGACATCGGCGAGCCGAGGCGGTTAGATCGAACTATTCATGGGAATCTAGTGTGTTCGCGGGTCGTATCGTAAAACTTTACACCAGAAAACAAGGTAGAATGCCTCCGGTTGGCGATAAAAGTTTCCTCGAAACGAAGAAGATAGCATCGATGCCTTGCCAGTTCGCCGTGCCGAGTACCGACCAGATCAGATAGCTACCACTGGCCTCGTTGGAATACTAATTTCCTCCGCGGTGACACTTGCCCGCACGTCCGCCAACAGAAGAAAAATTCCGGCCGATTTCTCGTCTTAGCCCGTACGCAAGGACGCCTCGTCTTCTCGTTTTCGTTACGCCGGACGAATTTTCAGCGATTATTTCCGCTTCTTGATTCTCCTCACCCCTCGGGATAATTGTCATCGTTGTGCATGGTTCATCTAGTTGCGAGATATTCACGAAAATATTCCAACAGCCGTGGAAACTCTTTATATATTGCGTGAAGCAACTGAAAGTTTTAACGGGAGACGATTGCTAAAATTATTATACTGATAGTATTATACATGGAATTGTTGTATTGATAAAATTGAAAGTAAATTTGAAATTAGTATAGAGAAGAATTTTAAAGCGGATCGTATTTTTATGTAATGGGTTTAAACACTTCTGCGATATGCATTAAATAATTTTTTATATATAATTTTAGTTTCAACTTCCTAGCACCAATCGTCTACAACGTTAGCAAAACCCTGTGAATGTTTTGTTTAATAAATTGACGGACGATATATTCACAAAAAAGTTTCAACACTTTCACGAACAATCGCAGGTACGCGTCTCAAAGCGGGTGCAATTAATTTTTGCCGCAAATGAAACGTCAATCTTGCAGTACTTAAAATTACGAAAAATCATTGTTCGTGAACATGAATCCATAAACCTGTCGTGCATCTATCGCGACGTTTGCACGAATTTGTGCTTTTTTACGGATAGCAAACGAAAGAAACGAGGAGATCCGCGATCAAGAATCGACGGACGACCACGCACCGTGGATTAAACGTTGCGTGGCAACTCGATCGATTCGAACGAAAAAAAATTCAACGTGGCCGGTAATTGGAACGCAGAACGAAGAAGATGTAATTACTTGAACTCGCCGGGCAAAGTCTGCGCCGGGCGGAACGATTATCGATTGTTCCGCTATCCTGCCATATAATTTTAACCGCATTTACCGATGTTACGTTGTTACATTATTGCAACATTACATGCTTCGAGTAATCGCATTAGCCGAATGCGGCTTTAGTACCAGTTCGCATGCATTTATCGCGGTGATGCGTTCGATAACGAAGCGCGTATGGCCAGCCGTGCCTCCGGATGCCTAAATATTCGAGCGGGCTCATTACGCGGCTGAGACTCCATTTACCGAACCAACTTCGGTGCCAAGGATCGTGCTGTCATCGTCATCCGATACTGAGCAAAACGAAAGGGATCTTATACACTTTTCAAACGCCACGATCTTTTCCTTGCATACTCTCACGGTGTTTGACTGTTTAATTTTATTTGACATCTGTTTTGTCGATCAGACGCTACTCCGTCCTCGCCTTTTCTTTCTTTTGTATTTTCCGATAGTATTTGATCTAATTGATTTAATATTTTATTAGACGAACTGTTCGAACTTTGATATTCTCAGCGCTACAGTTTATTTTAAGCGGGTGCATTGCATAAAAATGAACCACGTTGGTAAAGTTTTTCTCGCATCTAAATAGCGGATGAAGAGTTACGATTTCTCTTTCGAATCCGCGAGTAATTAAAAATAAAAAGTATTGATACGATTTCTCAGTAGAAATTGACACAAATTGCACGTGTCTATCTATTTTTTTTTCTATTTACTGTCCTCTGACAGTTTATTTGCTTGGCTAGACTCCTTTTCTTTAAACGGTTCTCTTGGTATTTTCTGGTTGTATCTTATCGCTCAATTTTTTTCATATTTAATATTTTATTCGATGCTGATTCGAAATCTTTTTACTCTCAGCGTTCACGTTCACTTCAAGGAGGATGGATTACCCCCAAGCAGCAAAAAAATTCGCAAAGTTTACGAATAATTTTTCTCGCGTCTAATTAGCAGACGAAGAGTTACGATTTCCCTTTCGAATCCGCGAGTAATTAAAAATAAAAAGTATCGATACGATTTGTCAGTGGAAGCAAGTGCAAATTGCTGGTGTCTGTCTGTTTTTTAAATCTATCATCCGTTTCTGGAAAGAAGAAACGGGAACGAATAGAAGAGAGACAGAGGGATATATTATCTCGTTCAGGTGGGAAAGCAATCATCTGGCCGAGTCAATTTCATAACAAATAAATCGAAATCGCGGCCGAATTTTGGGAGATCCGGCCGGGGAAAATCCAACGATTTACGATGGCCTGGTCGCCGGCTTGCCGATGGCAAATGACATTGACACGAAATTGTTGGAAATCGATAGTTAAAAGAGAAACAGAGAGAGAGAGAGAGAGAAAGAAAAGAGGGGAAGGGAAGGGGGAAAGAGAAAAAGGAAAATTGAAAAAATCCCAACGAATTTCAAGCGTCGAATTCGCGGCCCGCCAACGCGTAGAAAGACCAGGGAGGAAAGAGAAAGAGAGGGGGGAGGGAAAGTAAAAATGATTGCGGCGGTGGAAACGGAAAGAGAGGACGAAGAGGAAGGAGAGAAGCTTCGGAACACGACTTCTCGCAACGGACGGTTCTTTTTCTTTCTCCCCCTTCTTTTTCTTTTTTTTTTTTTCTGACGAAGAATACGAGAAACTGCGAGCAAAAATATCCGCGAGGTGAAGTTGGAATCGAATTAAAAAGCTGGCCAAGCCAATTAAGGCGTTTCGCGAAAGTTTAAGAGATTCTTCCCGGAAAAGGGTAAGCTTTCCAGGTGCGCGGCAGTCGCTTTCCTTTTCTTCCCTTTTTTCTTCTCTCTTTCTCTTTCTCTCTCTCTCTCTCTCTCTTTTTTCTCTATTACGTCGCCTTCCGCCTGGTCGCCGAACTGGGCGCCATTAAGCTGTTCGCTCTTCCGTATAAATAGAAAGAGAACGAAAGAGAGGGAAAGAGAGAGATCGCGCCGTCGGAACCAACAGCGAAAGAAGAAATGCTTCGTTTAATTTCAACGGAATTCGGCTCGTTATACAACCCGGTGTTGTTTCACCGGCAGTATTTCGATCATCTTTTCACCGACCATCCTTTCTCCGTCGTTTGTTACAACACTGAACGCCGATACGGTTTCTTTTATCTCTGTCTTCGCGCGATTTGATTTAAATTCAACGATCTACGCGAACAGAGCAATATTCTCGCGGGCCTTCTGACGATTACGGTATAATGTATATATATATATATATATATATGGACGAAAAAATGGACCAACGTTTGAAGTTGAACGATGAATTTCCTGGTCCTCGTTCCAACAGGGATCGCAAGAGTGAGAATATCTTGCAACGATCATTGTTCTTACGCCTGAGTTGCTCGGATTCGTAGTATTTCACGATTCGAAATGCAGAGAAGAAGTGACGATTACAAATTGTTATATTGGCTGGGAACGAGTCGTCTGTTTCTTCAGATGTTATTGAATGTTTGGCTTTTGAATAGCTCTCGTTTCTTTTTTTTAACTTATCAATGATCCACTTGAACTAAAGAGTCTCTTATAAACGTTCGTTCTTGTGCAAATGTATATATTCTTCCTTTAAATAAATAATTTACAATTACATAAAGTGTCTTGTAATTCTCTTATTCTCTAAGATTTCATCTCGGCAGTAAAGGGTTAACAAAATCTCGTTTTCACGCGTGTACAGAAAGGAAGGAAAGAAAATGAAACAATCTAGCCTTGTGTATATTCTTCCTTTGAATAAATAATTTACAATTACATAAAGTGTCTCGCAACTGCATCCCTTAGTATCTAAGATTCTATCTCGGCAATAAAGGGTTAACAAAATCTCGTTTTCACGCGTGTATAAGAAAAAAAAAAAAAAAAAAAAAGAAAAGAAAATGAAACAATCTAGCCTTGTATATATTCTTCCTTTGAATAAATAATTTACAACTATACAAAGTATTCTGTAATTGCATTCCTTAGCCTCTTCATCTCGACAGTACAGGATTAACAAAATCTCACGTTTTTTACGCGTGCAAAAAGAAGAAAAAAAAAAAGAAAAAAAAAAAGAAAGAGACAATATCTACGATCTGTTGTTCCCCTGAAACACACGGCTGCAAAAATTTCAACGCTGGAAAAGCGTAACCGGGCGTAGGCGTGGTGGGATCTACATGCATCGTTGAAAACTCTACGATCGCGTATGCGCGGCGGCGGCGGCGGCGGCAGCTGTTCCCAGCAGCCTTTCGTTAAATATTAAATTTCGACTACGCCGTTTGCCAGCGCGGTAACGTTAATAGCTGTACGACGATGTCGCCGATGTGCACACGAGCGAGACGACGCCGAGGCGAAATTTCCTCCCCGCGACGCTCGCTGGCTGGCTGGCTGGCTGGCGTATGTACACGGATGTATGTATGTGTACGTACGATCGACGAAACCGTTCAACGATCGTTGATCCGGATTTCGGTTTCTTTCGGAAAAGAGATTGGATCCTTCCCACTTACCTTCGTAGACCCGGAGCTGCGCCTCCGCTGACACGGCGTCGCCGACTCCATTCTCCGCCAGACACTCGTACAGCGTGTTGTCGCGGATCGGCCTCACCGGCTCGATCCGCAGCAATGCTCCGTTCTCGTAGTTGTGCACCAGGTACCGTGACTGAGACTCTGCGGCACGAGAGGGATGACATTTAGTCGAACGATCGATCTCGACTCGAGACTGTTCAAATACAGAAAACGAGATAAAACGAGAGAGAGAGAGAAACGTAACAGAGTTGGAAAATCGGCGATACTACCTCTGTCAAATAGAGGATCAGACTTTAGCTTTCGTAATTCTCGCCCGTCGAAAGCAAAACAAGACCACGATCGCGACTCTAATATCCACGAATTCGACGTTCGAATGTTAATGAAGTTTGGCTCCGAGCGGAGCCGAAATCGGAACCGGATCCAAGCTTCGTGGAGGAACGGCCGGGGAATTTGCAACGCCGCGAAAAATCGCGCACCGGTTAACGGAGAACAGGGGGGGGGGGGGATCGCTTTTATCCGCCGTTCCAGGACGATTGTTCTCCGATTCCGAGAGCTGGCTCGCGGCTACGAAATCCGCTAATCCAGCGAAATTCAGGGATATAACGACAAAGTTGATCGCGATCGTGCGAAAACGCGCGCCACCGGTCACTTTCTGTCTCATTCGGCAGCGGCCACGCTCTCCACCTCGATCCTCGATCTGATTTCGTCGATCCTCCTCTGCCCCGTCGCCACGAAACAATTACCATCGAAAAGTAGACTTGTTTCAAGTTAAATACATTTTGGACACTTTATACACTTCATTACGTGCATCTATTCGGATAAATTTCGCACAGAGGCGTGAAGATCCACGGTCTAGTGGCCACACGTCGATACACGTTATGCCACGATTTTTGCTGGAATTTTACAGTCGCTTGGCAATTTTCAAGAAAGAGACATTCCCTTCTTTCGTGACGTAAATTTCGACCGACGACGGAACATTCGCGCCGTGAATACAGAGAGAAGTTCGCAGAGTAGAAAGATCAACTTCGCGAATGATCCCTGGAATCACTTCGCTCCCTCCGTTTGTTACGGAAGCAGGCAAATTCCTGGCGACCGAGAAGAGAGTCGCGAGATCACGCGGGGACTGCCTGTTGTTTTTAGAAACACAAACTAATCAGCATTTTAGAGGCGGCTCCTGGAGGCAGGCGACGAGGATAGTTTACCCTCGAATTGTAACTCGGTGGGGTTACAAATTTTCCAGCTGCCCCCGTCGAATTCAGTCATTTAACGAAAAATTACAAAATTGCAAGAGCAAAGTCTCGTCAGTTTACCGACACGGCGTAACAACTTTGCTGAGAGATAAACGAGTTCTCACAATTGGAGTTTCACGAACACGGTTCGGTGTTCCACTGTGACATAACACATTGTGTACCGCACTCGGCGCGCCCAATTTGCTCCCAGAGTCACATTTTTGGAGCAACAGAGAAAATAAACTTTGCACAATACAAAATATGCACTTCTTTAATTCACACTGATAAAATACTCTTAAATATTACTATATATTTTTTGCAGTAATGTTTAAGAATCTATTTATTATGTATTTTAGATTTTAACTTATTAACACATTGAGAACGGTATGTTTTGATAATCATACAGCCAGTATTTTCTCGTATTTTCTGAATTATTTAACATATGACTGAAAGGGTTCAAGAGAATGTATAGCATTTGACAAGTGTATTATTTTATCAATAATCAAAATTATTAATTATTTTTCATTTTGGAGGCATTTTATTAAATAAAATGAAAATACTTCTTGTAATGTTTCTCGGTGTGGTTAGGAAACAATTTCCCTAGTTCTTGAAAAATTATATAACATTGCAATACATAATTATATATTATATATAATATTATATAACGTTGCCCTACGACGCAAAAGAAAAAAAAAAAAAAAAAAAAAAACAAAACGTAGAAATAAGAGAATTCTCGTCTTCCGTCCGCAACAGTCGGAAACTGAAAGACGCGGATTCGCGTCTCCCGTCAACAATGTGTTAATTGGTAAATGATCCGTGTGCAAGACGATATCTCGATTTTCCATTCCAAGTCGGAGCAGAGTGAATATAACGCGTTCCACTCGCATTCACAGTAGCCACAGTGAAACCTTGGGCGGCGAGACGGTGCCCCCGAGAACCGGAAGCCAGTCTGGCGAGGGTAACGAACACATGGAAACACGCGGCCGGAGGCTTTCCACTCCAAAGAAGCGACGACGTTGGTCGCGTCTGCTTCAGCTAGTAACGTCTTCCAGCGAAGATTCTCCGGGAGATTCGGCAATCCGTCGAGTCTTTGGAAACTCGGGATATAACGAAGGGACTGGGCCGTAGTCCGGTAGGCAGCAGCCGGTGTTTCCGGTACTCGAGCGAGCGCGAAATTCAGTTGAAGAGAAGAAACTCGACGAGATGGTACGCGCGTCGAAAAAGGACAACGAAGAAGCAAGATACGATACGACGCGAGGAGGGAAAAGGAGAATAAAATAAAACGTGGCAAGTCGCGAGGAGGAGGAAGACGTAACCTAAAACGAGCATGAAGCTAGAGAGGCCAGCGACGCGGTGAATAAATACAGGGTGTTTCGTAACTCGTGGCACCTACTTCGGGAGCTGATTGTACGCCTAAAAATAATCAGAAAAAAAGTCAGATAAATATATGTCCTGTCTTCGTTTGTGAGATACAATGAATTTTATAAACAGAGCAAACTCTAGTAAGCTAGTTTTACCCAGGGATGGTATATTCAATTTTCATAATAATCATAATTGGGATGAAAAAATCCCACATATTATTGTGCATTCCAGACATCAACACCAGTTTAGTTTAAACGTATGGGCAGGAATAATTGATAAATTTTTAATTGGACCTTTTATTCTTGATGGGAAACTAACAGGCACAAAGTACGTTGATTTTTTTCAGCACGCGTTTACACGAAATATCAGAGGAAGTTCCAGCCGATATTAGACTTCGTATGCGGTTTATGAATGATGGAGCTCCGCCGCATTTTAGCCGAGTGACTAGGTAATTTTTCAATCAACACTTTGCAAATAAATGGATTGGTCGTGGGAGGTCATGTTGCATGGCCTGCTCGTTCTCCGGATTTGAATCCATTAGATTTTCATTTGCGGGGACATTTAAAATCTATTGTACTACGCAACATCGATTGAAAATGCTGAAATACTACGAATTAGAGTAGAGCAAGGCTTCCGACAAATTCGAGAAACACCAGGAATTATAGAGAGAGTAACCAGATGAATGACAAGACGCGTGCAGGCTTGTCTTCAAATGCAAGCTGGTCATTTCGAGCATCTTTTGTAAAAGTAATCAAAACAGAAAATTCACTATATCTCATAAACGAAGACAGATAGGACACATATATTTATATGACTTCTTTTCATTAGTTTTAGGCGTACAATCAGCTCCCGAAATGGATGCCACAAGTTACGAAACAGCCTGGATATCAGCGAGTGTCGGCGCGATTTTCATCGTTCGTGCGAAAAACGCTCGCGTTCATAAGTCGTCGGGCACTTGTCCGCTTTTGAACGGGAAACGATTGTACAACCATTAATACAATGCCCCGCTCGCTCGTGATTTTGTTGTTTGAATTTCGCACGTGTATTTCGTTCGCAAGTACGTATCTTGAAGCGAGATAAATCACGGCCGCGCGCGTGTGTAATTTGAATAAATGTTATCGATCGACGAGTTGAAATTCCAAGTTAAATTTAACGGCGGGTTTATTTACGGGCGGGGAGGAATCGAGTGAAAAATTAGTAGCTGATTGTGCTCTGCCAGCCGGCCGTGGAACGCGGCCGGTGTCATTTAGCGCGAGAGCTAAACAAATTTAAAAATTAGTAGCTCGGATTTACGTGGGTGCGGGCAGCGTTGAAACGCGCGCGTCGAATTGCTTCGGCGATTGTTTAGAAAACAATAACGAAAATCAATGTTTACGAATCACTGTTTTCCCGAATGAGGGCGAATGAATCGCTCGGGTTCCATCGTTTCTAACGTTGATCGCGTGCCTCGCAAATTTTTATCCAACTGGCCCGGCGATTTTAGCAAGAAAAGTTGCGAGAAACTGGCAGAGAACGACGGAATAAAGGAGCGAAAAGTCGCAACTTACGGGAAACTCGTTTTCCGTTTTTCCGCCAGTGGATTTGAGGAGGCGGCGCACCCTCCGCCGTGCAGTAGAAGCTGGCTATTCCTCCCGCCTTCACCTGCTGCGATTGCGGCCTCACCAGGATCGTCGGCGGACCTGTGAACACAAGATCAAAGCAGAGCCTTCGATTAGAGTCGAAGTAGTTCCCTTCGGGCCTCCGATCGTTGCCTCGTTCCTTCGTTAATAAATCGCGGGGGGAATCGCGGAGGTATCCGCTACGATTGCTAACTTTGGACGATTCGTATCTTTCTATGATACGCGTTTATATCGATGACAATGTTATATAACATATTATACGATGTACTATTACATCGTACTATCATTATGGGCGATATACTACATACTGTATATTATACTGTGATGCACTATATTTATAATTGCATTATATAATATAGTGTTAATATATGATATAATATAATTATAATATTAATATGTTGTACTATATTATATTATCATTACATATAATATCCTATTATAATACTATAGTACACTATATTTATAATTGCATTATATAATATAGTGTTAATATATAATATAATTATAATATTAATGTTGTACTACATTATATTATCATTACATATAACATACTATACTATACTATTATAATATAATATGCTATATATTATATTCTGATACACTATATAATATAGAGCTAATATAATATATGATATATTAATACATTATACTATATTATTAATATATTATGCTATCATATAATATACTATATACTGTATTTACAATTTTAATATAGTATTAACGATAATATAATATAACAACTGGAGTTAATAAATTCATTAATTTCCACGTAGAGATATTTTACACTAAAGTATCGATGGCTTTCAAACGTAAGAAATTTACGTGGCCAAAGGTTTAGTATTCGTAGGGTTCGAATTCGTATTTGTAGGGGCATCGATCGTTCGAAGCTGACAATATCAAAGAGTTACGAATATTTCCGCGATCCGCTGTACGAGAGGAACGTCTCTGAAGGAACTCGCCGACCAAACTCAGCGAATATTACCAGAAAAAAAGAAAGAAAGAAAGAGAGAGAGAGAGAGAGAGAGAGAGAGAGAGAGAGAGGGAGACGAAAATTACACGTAATTTCCGATCGATCGAAGGAAAAGAGAGGATATCGGATCGGATTAGACGGTGTTTACGATCGCGTTAAGCCCGATGTTGGTTCGTGACAGAGCAAACTTTCCGCTCGAACATGCCCCGTTCGACAGAAAACAACGCAGATACAACAAGCGAAAAAGAATTGAAAAAAAAAAGAAAAACACGAAATATCAGAGAGAGAGAGAGAGAGAGAGAGAGAGAGAGAGAGAAAGGGAGGGGGAAAAAAAACGTTGTTCCGGACATTTGTAGATTCGATAGGATGGAAACTCGTGTAAACTCGATAAACGAAATTTGCTATCGCAGGAAATCGAGCGACGGCCGAATCCAGCGGACAAATAGCGTGAACGCGTCGCGTGTCGCGGGGAAACACACGCGGCACGGAATTAGCGGGTTTAACGTGGAAATGGAAATTTCAGGGCACGCGTGGCCGGAGCACTTTTGCTCGAGACAATAAAGAGACGCCTTGGCCCATCGCGATGGATGGATACGGCTCCTTTTGTCCCGTTTCTCGTAGTTTCTCTCCCTCCCTCTCCCTCTCTCTCTCTCTTTCTTTCTCGGTCCGCAGAACCTTCACGCTGTGACAACGACGCTGCTGTTCCCGCTGGAAACAGAGGGGCCGGACCAAGAGTCGTGCTATCTGGAGCGAGACTACCGGCCAAGTATTAAATTGGTCTCGAAAGTTTGCGATCGCACGGACCGTTTATGGCCACTCTTCCATGGATGGCCGGTCCCGAATGAAAACGCCCCCGTCGACTTTTTCGATCTTCCGCTCGGCGAAGGAAAGGAATTGCGCTCGCCTCGACGAATGGACGAACGGAACGATCCGTGCCGGATCGGATGAAATTTCCGATCTTTTTTATTCGTCTGTTTATCAAGCTTGGGGCACGATGACTCTTTATTCACCTCGTGAAATTAATTCCATCTGAATGTATGGATAAGAGAGTAAGCAATCGTCTTACTCATTTTTGTACTAGTCTCGCTGGACTAATGAATAAGATACGGTGGTTAACCTCTTGCGCTGGACTAATGAATAAGATACGGTGGTTAACCTCTTGCGTTGGAATGACGCGCCATGCACAATTTTTTGTCTCAAACTGCAACATTCTCTCAGTTTTAAACATATTTAAATGTAACCGAGGTAAAACAAATGATAAATTTATTACTTGTTAATCATTTCCATCAAGTGATATCACATCGACGAATACAAAAGGAAAAGAAAGCGACGAATTGTTGTATATGTACGGTTCGGTCACTCGTTATGGTCCGCGAACCAGTTGCCAGCGCAAGAGGTTAAATGGGACTGCGTTCGTATTTGACGAAGGTAGATGAATAAAGATTCAAACGAATAAGTGTTGACGTCGATGAACTCCAATCGCCCTGAGCATCATACTAGGAAAAAATACGCGAAATTTGGTTTAAACACAACATAGAAATTTAGCACGTGGTTTCGGCGAATCTATTGACACGTACGCACATACACACACACACACACACACACATATACACACAGTCACGCAGTCTCTGTCCATTGGACTTGCAATCCATCGTCGATGATCTCGTAATCGGCGACGTATCCATAGCCTGAATCGAATCGAATGGAATCGAATGGAATCGAGCCGGGCCGGGCCGGGCCGAGCCGAAACGAATCGAATCGTATGGAATCGAGTCGAATCGAATTGAAACGCGACGACGAGTTTGCCGCAGCGCGCGGCGAAAGAGAAAAAAAAAAAAGAAAAAAAGAAAAAAACTGTCGTTCGCAAAATGGAAGATTATGGCGGGAAAGGGTGAAATGGACGGTCTGGTTTGACGAGAGAAGAGAGCCGGCGACCGCCGACGCTGGCTGGCATGAAAATTCGCGGCGAACGAACGAGAACGCGAACGCGGAACGTGTTAATCTATCGGGATGGCGGGTGGCACTCTCCGGCGATGAAAACTGCGCGGCGCACGGGGAGGGGTGGGATGCACGCGCGCGATGCAATTTAAGGTAAATATTATTCCATCGGCGAACCGTCGATAATTTTTGATCGAATCGCTCATTCGAGATTATTGCTATCCGGCGCGGGGTCGCATTGTGGTCGAACACGTGACGATTATCATAACGAAATAGTCCGAAACTGGTGCATTAATCGAGCGCAATCCTCGCGACGAGTGCACGCGCGCCGGCCGGCCGATCGATGGATTTTTAAATATATCCGGCTACGGCTCGCCCCGCGACTCCAAATGAGTTTTCTCGCGCGAAAATTTTACAAAATTCCAATAACCATCGGCGAATCCTCCATTCACGCGCGCGCGCGCGCCGCGAACTGAAAGGGCATTTTTTCCTTCATTTTCTTTTTTTATCTCTATCTCTCTCTCTCGCCCCCCCCTTTTTTTTTGCTGGCCACCAAAAGAGGCCGAAAGAGAGAAGGGAGGGCCAACGAGATTTCTAAAGATCAATGTGATTTTGAAAAATGACTTTAACGAGTCAAACGACGGCGGGTAGGTTCCCATCCTTTCACGTGCGGGATGGTATTTCTCTCGACTAAAATTCAGACAGCCCAGATGCATGTATGGGTGTGTGTGTGTGTGTGTGTGAGAGAGTATGTATACGTGTGCATACATAGATATATTTATTTAGAACGAGCTGCAGAGCGCATCAAAAGCACCTGCCGCGCCACCGTTGCCCAATGATAATTTATGATCGACCATGAAAGAGGTACGCGATAAACAACCGCAAAACCGGAATCCGGAAGCTCTTAAATTCGGGGGCCGCTGCTGCTCCACTTTCTTCAATCCTTTCCGATACGGCGCTCGCAGATACGTTTCCCATCTGCAATCGAACGGCGCGTAATTCTCGATGGATCTATCTTTGACCTCGTGCAAATTTCGCCGACTTCTTCTCTTTCGCTGAAAACCCGCGCCAGTTGACGGAGGAAATTACAGACGAATTTCGTTTCGCTCGAACGTTCAAAGTCGCCCGTTGGCTAAAAACCGACACTTTCGTTCAACGTTGACGAGATTAAGTCCCGTTGAATGTCCAAAGGATCCAGCGGAACTGACGATTCAACGGAGCTATTCGCCGACGCTCGACGATGCGGCGTGTTCTTTTTCCACTTTCTACTACCGGCGTGCAATCGGATGCAACTCGGCGGAGGAGCGGGGCCAGAAAGGTGGAGCGCGTAGTTTACAAATTACAACGCGATGCTGAATTGCGTTTCCGTTCGAGGGATCGACAGGGCGTTCGTTAAAGCGGCGGCTGCTGCTGGGCCGCATTACCGGCGAGCGAGACCCCGAGCAACGAGACGGTGGGGTAACAGGGGGAAACAAGTTTTCGACTTTCCGCCATCAAAAGCGATCGTTCGCTCGTTTTCATTAAATCCTCGGCGAGTTGCGGCCGCGGCGAAGAGTTTGAGAAACGCGGACGGAAAAGAGGGAAACACGGGGAATTCGAAAAGCCGCAGAGAGAGAGAGAGAGAGAGAGAGAGAGAGAGAGAGAGAGAAAGAGAGAGAGGTAGTATACAGATCGTTTTAGAAAGGAAACCGAATAGGGTTCTGGTAATTGCGTTTCGCTAATTCTCGCCCGAGCCGAAACGTGCAAGAAATTACGTGGCCGCTGAGAACGTGAATATCCTCGCGACGATTTAGAAACACGGGGCCGTCTTTGATGAAACGAGACGAGGAGAGCGCGGTCGGAGAGAGAAAAAAAACTTCAGCGCGCGTTCTCGTTGCACCGAGAGGATCCGAGTGAAAAACGGGAGACGCTGTCTCGCGGAGGATATTGGACAGGAGCTTGGGCATCTTCGAAATGGCCAAAGCGTTGGAGATGCATATTCCAAAGAGAAAAAAAGGAAAAAAGAAAAAAAGTTCTCGGGCGTGCAGACTCGCGAGAGAGCTCGAAAGAGAAACACGCGAGGCGCAAAGATTAAACGCCGGTGAAAATTAGATCGCGAAACGTGGCGTTCGGCCGAAACGAATGGCCGAGGCGGGTGAAAAAAATAGCGCGG